TTTCCCTTCCTTTCTCTTTGTTTGATCCAACCCCCAGTTGATGAATATTTGAACATAAAGGAATAAGATTTCATAAGAAATCTCAATAGCAATGAATAACAATTATCATACTAATCATGCTATGTAAAAATGTGCTATGTTATCTTGAACATAACATCATCATGCAACATATCATGTGTATAACATTTGGCATGGAAAGAGAGCAACCATCAAGCTATTATATCATTCCTCATAACATATTACCAAGGCATATTCATCATCGCATTCCATGCATAATCACATAATTTGCTCAATCATATCATAGCAACATAAGCAAGTAATACAAACACATTTAAACAAGTAAGAAAGCAATCAAATTATGAGCTCAAAGCTACCTCTTTCACAAGTATATATTTCGGCCTTTTTAAAGATTTTGTGCTTCTCTTTGTTTTCTTACAAATGCCTATCACTCTAAGCATAAACACATTCCAAATTACTAATAATCCAAGCAAGAACACCTTTGCTCAACATCAAACTCAATTAAACTCCTTTTTCCTTGATTTTTGACATAATTATTTTCTCTTTTTCAATCAATCTCTTGGTTCATTCCTATACAATTTTTCATGTAGAATCCAAATATCAAATCAGATTTAACAAAATCACACTCCTTCCCCTTTAAACTAATTTGGCCAAATAGGGTGAATTTAGGTTCCAAAATTTTCATTTTTGATTCTAATGATTTTAAACAATTGTCCTTGGTGTTTCTCTACTCAAAACACATTCTAAACTTATTAAAATCATCAAATTAAGCTGAAACAATTTCTAACCCCGTGAGCTATGCTTGGCCAAAATGTCACATAATTAGGAAACTTGGAATTTCTTCTAAAAATCAATCCAAACATCAATCAAACAAGCTATTCCAAGCTTTAAATCATGATTTTTAATTCTTTCCTAATCATTCTTCATCGATTCGAAAGTTTGGACAACAAGATACCATTGGAATTTTACCACCAAACTCTACTTGAAACAAACTAGAATCATAGTCAAATTATAGCTTGAACACACCTTAATTAATCCTTGATTCTTACTTGATAATTTTTGGCCAATATCAGCATGAAAAGGGCTCTCCAAACTCAGTTTTTTTATAGCAAAACCTCCACCTCAAGTGCTCAAAAAACCAAAAATTAAAGATGTAAGAGGGGGGTATTTATAGACCTCAACTTGGCCTTCTCTTCCTTCCAAATGTCCCTTAAAAATTAGGATATTTTGGGGCATGCGTCCTTAAGAGGTTACAGAATTATGGGAATGTACAAGTGTCTCTTAAGAGATAATATTTTGGATAAAATCATGTGATATTTTGTATTATTTTATTCCATAACCATATGCATCACTTGGACCACAAAATTACTGTTTATTCCTAGCCTAAAATCAAGTCCAATGAGCTAGAGAAAGAAGGAGGAAGCATCATCATTCATTTTCAAACATTTTTCCACCTGATTTTGTCATATCGACTAAATTTCCCTCCTAATTTTTAAGAATATTTCTGGACCTCTAAAAATTTATTTCTTCCCATCAAAAATCATATTTTAATATATAAAGGTCCTTTGAATTTTTTAAAAATTTTTCTCCACCTCTAATTATTTATTTTGAATTTTCTCCGAAATCAAGCTTTACCAATAAGATTTCGGTAATAAATATTCTAAAATTAATTCTTTTACTTTCAGAGCCTGGAAATAATTTTATAAATTCAAATAAATCCTTAAATAATTTTTTCATAATTATTGAGGCCTCTACATATTTAAAATAATTATTTTGGACTAATTTTTCACTATTTTTTTCCAAAAAATCTCTGTTTACAGAAAATTCTGCAATAATTTATTTTTATGCCATTTTTATCTATAAAGCCTCAAATAAGGTTCCAAAACCTTTAATTTACCTTTGTATTGTTTTTCAGGAATATTTTAAATTTTTTTCCAATTTTTCCATTTTATCCTTTCTGAACCGAAAATTTCAAAAATATCAGTTCAGATAACAGTCAGATCTCAACTCAAAAGTTGTTTCATCTCTGCATCTACTTTATCATTTGACCCTCTGTCTAATTTATTTTTTACATTTCCAAGGTCAAATTTGGCAAGATGTAACATATATCACTCTTAGTAATTTGTAATTAAGATTCTTATATATACAACGATATAAATAGATATTATATAATTATAAATGACCTTTTAATTAACAATTTTTTTAAAAATTTAAAATGTCATTAAATGAATTAATGATGTAAATGGCTTCCCCGTATGTATTATAATTAGGTACGTGAAGGAAAATAATATGATCCCATCAAAATGTGGCAACCACGCAATCATTGTGCATCATTCACACACACACACGCATATATTTTTCCAAAGTCCAAACATGTAATAATGTCCCAAAGTACTTTTATATTTGCGTTTGTTTGTTTGTGTGTGTGTCTGTTGCGTAGCACTCAACCTTGAATTGGACTCCAAGGAACGTCCGATCGAGATCGGATCAGAATGACATGTGAAGATCATGGATCATCATGAAGATGACGAAGAAAAATACTAAATATAGTAACTGTGAGGTTTATTACCCCATTTTTTTTCATAATATTTCTATTTATTACGTATATTAAAGAAATAATATTCATATGTAATAATTCTTGTTAAAAATGATTAAAGGGTGTTTTAGCAAAATCAATATGTATGTTTTACTAAGAACTAAATTAATTTTGTTAATTCCTATAAATTAATTAGTTATTTGAATTTTATATTTAAAACCATAGGAAATACTTTTTTTTAAATGAAAGGTAAATCAAATATTAAAATTTTTTAAGTTAATCATTAATAATTCAAAAATTAAAGTTATACCCTCTTTCAGTTCAACATGTAAGTCACATTTTAGAATTTCTTAATCAAAGAAATGGAAGTGTTTGATTGATTGATCATGAAGCACCGTTATATGCACACAAAGCACATATATGTTAATTACGTGCACACACAAATTTATACTTACTACTAACTCCGATCCTAATTATAAGATCTTATTTGTAGACTGTAAATGAGGTTTTATAATTAAAATCAGATGCAGAATATATATTCCACTTAGAAAGTCTGACCTCTCCCAAAAGCTCCAAAACGGATGGTCATTATCCTTTTGGCTTCTGAGCAGATTTCCACAAAATTAATTGGACTTATTGGAAATGTCATCATTATCATTTATGTGGAGGAATTCTCATCTCTATTGGAGATATTCAGTGTAATGTTTGTGGAAGTATTGACTTTTTCCACTACTGAAAGAATGGAATAATGAGCTGAAATTATTGAATAACCTAAATACAATACTACCTCTAGTTCTTAATATAAAAACTAGTTTGACTTTTAATTTGATCCTAAATATAAACTCCAATCCACTTTATCTCTCATATTTATCTATTTTTTTAGCCTTGTAGTACTTGTACATGTTAAAAGTTTCATCAAATGATAGTTCTAGCTCATACACATAATTAGCAAGTGTATTTTAGAGAAAAACAATAGCAGTACTTATTTATTACAAATAACTAACTTAACAAACTTTTTTAATCTACTCAAATTAGTTAATTAGCTTTTATATTAAAAACTGAAGGTAGTATAATTGTGTTGTCATCAATTAGCTAAGGAACGTGATCAGTTAGCTGGAAGATGACACAAACATCATAATCATATAATCAAAGAGAGTAATAATTTGTTTGATGAGGAGAGAAAGTGAGAACAAACAAAAGGGAAGAAGAGACAATGGAAGGAAGATATATAAAAGTTGAGCGAAATTTTTTTCTTTATATTTAGATAGATGAGAAAAAACTACATGCTTCCTTCCATATCCTAAATATAAGAGCTAATTGAGAGGTTTGTTTTGGTTTCAAATATAAAACTTTAATCCATTTTATTTCTTAAATTTATAATTTTTTTCAAATTATCTTTATTAATTACATATATTAAAGAAATTAAAAGTTTTCATATGGGATAGTTTCTATTGCAAATAATTAAAGGGGTATTTTAAAAAAAGTAATACATTTTTTCTATAAATGAAAAAATTAATTTATCTTTTTAATATATGTAAATTAATTATCTAACTTTTACATCTAATATGGGAGCCAGTGGGAAACAAAATGACTAATTTCAGGAAAATAATTAATATCCATATAGGTACAGATAGAACTTAGTTTAAGTTCCCTATAACCATGATGTCAAATTCATATCCTACTTTTTGCATGTAGGTTTCTAATTAGATGATGATATGAGGGGGCAAAAAAAGATACTAAGCAAAGTGTGATTGAAGAATTTGATATAATAATTGCAGGAAACTTGACCTAAAGTTTGTCCTATAAGAAAACTGTACCATCTACGTCTCTTTCTCTCATTTAAAAGCAAGTTTGGGAGAGATAAAATGTAGATCGATATCTCATATACTCTCCACCACTATCTTTTTCATTTTTGTTATCTGTTGTAAACAGAGAAAAGATATATCTAACCCCTTCAGTTTTCTTTTTATATGAATATCTTAAGATAACTATTGAGATGAGGCTTCTCCTAATTATTATGTGCTTTAATATTCTTGCAATTTCCATTTTTCTTTTCTAAAACTCATCATAGATTCATTGCTTCAATTTCACTTAATTAATAGCGTAGACAAACATTGATGCTTGTATCTCATTACATATCAATTAGTGTATTATATCATTTCCTTTTCAATCACATGTTCACCCGGAATTCACAATGATCTTCATGTAACAAATTTCTCATAAACTATATTAAAATGGAAAACCCTTTTTTTCATACTTTCTGAAACATCTAAGAATGTTATCATTATTCATATACGGGCGTGAATAATGCCGTGAAGATAAAGGAAAGAAAAAGTTATCTTTTTGTATCGCTATGAGTACAGAAGATAATAATAATGCCCAAGTGCTCACCTTCTTCAGGGTTGTGTGCTTATATGTGTGTGTGTGTGTGTGTGTATGCTGCGCTCTCATACATTTATTTGTTACATCACATTTCCCATCTTGGCTCAAATCAAAGAGGTATGGATCCTTGCCCTCTCTAGCTTCTATAATCTAGCTAGCTTCAATTCCTTTCATCTTTAGTCTCTTGCTCAAATTATACTACTCCCTCTGATTTTAGATATAGGAACTCAATAACCAATACAGAGATTAAGTAAATTAGTTAAACTTTACATGTTGGTTCTTGTAGAATACTGCCTTTAATAATTTGTATTGGAACTATTTTTTGATGAAAATCCTTGCATATACAAAAAATAGTATAGTTTGGGAACAAAATTATAAATTTAATAGATAAAGTGGATTAAAATCTTACATTTAAAAATCAAGTGCCTAGTTATTTATGATTTCAAACCTCAATGATAATGCTAAAGTCTGATCCAATAATACCATATAGCATATAGTCATGTAAAAATTAAAAAAGAAAGATAAAAGTCACAATGTTTCTTGAATTCTCCAATATCCTTATTTCTTTTTAAATATTATTTGAAGCGTTATTGTTTATCCGTAGCCACTAATCCAGGCCCTATAGCTAGGACATCTCATAAGGTATAAACAAGTTTGCAATTGCATATATTAAAGCAGATATATAGTACTGTTTTTTACACTAAACAATGGCGTGCAAGCAAATTAAACTTCCTTTTCAGAGATAAACTTGTTGATTATAATGGTGTTTGCTTTAAATCATCCCTTTCATTTTTATTACAGGAACCATGATTTTCAAAACACTCACACTATTGTTGGTAACCATGATGATGGTGACAAACACATCAAGAGCAGTGATGGAGAAACAGACGTACATAATCTACATGGACAAGACCAAAATCAAATCCTCCGTTCATTCTCAAGACATCACAAAACCATGGTACGAATCAATCCTTGATTCCATCTCCCAAGTAGAAGAAGAAGATGAAGAAGAAAAAGAACAGACATCATCATCAAATCCAGACCTTCTTTACGTATATGAAACAACCATGTTTGGTTTTTCTGCTCATTTATCGCCTTCCCACCTCGAGTCCTTAAACCAAATCGATGGTTTTCTCACAGCCATACCTGATGAACTCGTGCATCTCCACACAACTTACACACCCCATTTTCTTGGGCTTTCAAAAGGAAGAGGGCTTTGGAGTGAATCAAACTTGGCTTCTGACGTGATCATTGGAGTGCTTGATTCGGGGATTTGGCCTGAACATGTGAGCTTTAGAGACTCAGGGATGTCTCCAGTACCTTCTAGATGGAAAGGTGTTTGTGAAAATGGCACACAGTTTTCTTCTGCGAACTGTAACAAGAAGCTGATAGGAGCAAGGGCGTTTTTCAAAGGGTATGAGAAGTTTGCTGGGAGGATCAGTGAGACTGTGGATTATCGCTCTTCAAGGGATTCCGAAGGCCATGGAACTCACACTGCATCTACTGCTGCCGGTGGTTTGGTGGATAATGCCAGCTTGTTTGGCTTTGCTAAAGGTACAGCCGCTGGAATGAGGTAATTGCTACTTCCTCTAGTTATAAAGCTAGAAACTAGATAACTAATTTATAAATATAAAAAAAATTAATTCAATTATTTATAAATAATATGTGTTGATTTTTTTAAAAATATTCTATTTAATTATTTACATTAAAACTACCTCTATTAATAAAATCCACTTTAATATGTGTAATTAATAGGGATAGTTTCCCTTCAACAAATACTTGAATAGCATTTAGAATCCATAGGCTTCATAAGTGACGCACTGACGCATGAAAGGTAGTTCCTTTGTTTTGAAAAAGAAGTAGTAATTTTGTTTTGAAAAAAAAAAAGTTGCCAGCGGGCTCACTCAACTTGATCTCGCATTTTAAGAAACCAAGTAATTGAGCTAGATTGCCAATCCAACCAAAGCCTAGCATGTAAATTTTGTGTTTTCCCCCCGGGTCTAATCTAACTCGGCTTAATATAACATTATAACTAGGCCGGACGGAACCCACTGAATTAACAAACCAAGTGAAGAACCAGATTTTGTACCCAACATAAAGTTCGCCCAATGGCTCAACCAGATTTTAAAAAACTTGGAATCAGTTGGGCGTGGGCCTAACACGTGGGGAAGGGTGTTTTTGATACTTCCGAGTTGTGGTAGGACCCTGCCTCTCGAAAGCACAGTAGAGTGTTGTTTCCTTTTCCCATTGGACAATACATATTCTCTGGAGTTGTTTCCACCAGAATCGCACAAGAGGCAAGAAGATTATTGAACTGGGACAGAAAAGCACATACTCACCACGTGTAACCGAAGTAACAATAAAGATAATGATAAACTATCTTATGAGACTTTGAATTGATGGAACATGCATTCTTCAATAACCCAAAGAATAGTTTGCTTCTGCACTTATACTATTATTCAAATATATAGTCAAAAAATGGGATAATTGTGAAATTGTATATTAGGTATACTTCAAGAATAGCAGCTTACAAAGTATGCTGGCCCTTGGGATGCACAAACTCAGATATAATAGCAGCAACAGATAAAGCAATTGCGGATGGGGTTGACGTATTGTCACTCTCATTAGGCGGCGCAGCCAGGCCTTATTACAGTGATAGCATAGCCATAGCCTCATTTGGAGCAATCCAAAAGGGGATTTTTGTCTCTTGTTCTGCAGGTAACTCAGGTCCTTCCAAATCAAGTGTAGGAAATGTAGCTCCATGGCTCATGACTGTGGCTGCTAGCTACACTGATAGAAGCTTCTTAACAAAGGTGAAGCTTGGGAATGGCCAGGTTTTCAAAGGGTCTTCTCTGTATAAAGGCAAACCCACAAAGCAATTGTTTCTTCTTTATGGAAAATCAGCAGCAAACAATGGAAGTGAAAGATTAGCACAGTATTGCATTAGGGGCTCACTTGATCCAAAGCTTGTGAAGGGGAAAATGGTTGCTTGTGAGAGAGGAATCACTGGCAGAACTCTGAAAGGAGAGGTAGTGAAAATGGCAGGTGGGGTAGGAATGATTCTGCTTAACTCTGCATCCCAAGGAGAAGAGCTTTTTGCCGATGCCCATATTATACCAGCAACTTCATTAGGAGCTTCTGCATCCAAAACCATTAGAAGTTATGTTTTAGCAGATAAAAGTCCAACAGCCTCAATTTCCTTTATAGGGACTGTATATGGAGATTCTAATGCACCAACAATGGCTGCCTTTTCTTCTAGAGGACCCAGTTTGGTAGGACCAGATGTTATAAAGCCAGATCTGACCGCACCTGGTGTGAACATTTTGGCTGCTTGGCCCCCCAAAACTAGTCCAAGTTCCCTCAAAAGTGACAAAAGAAGTGTACTATTTAACATAGTCTCTGGCACTTCAATGTCTTGTCCTCATGTGAGTGGCGTAGCAGCTTTAGTTAAGTCTGCGCATAAAGATTGGTCTCCTGCTGCTATAAAATCAGCCCTTATGACCACGGCTTACACTTTGAACCACGGAGGACGCCCAATTGGAGATATCAGCTCAAACAGGTCATCAGAAATGGCTAACCCTTTTGCTTTAGGCTCAGGACATGTTGATCCAGAAAGGGCTTCTAATCCTGGGCTGGTCTATGACATTACCACACAAGGCTATTTAAGCTACCTGTGTAGCCTGAACTATACTTCCTCCCAGATTGCTATATTATTAGGGGGTAATTCTACTTGCTCCATTGATGGAGGCCTTCAACCTGGTGACTTGAACTACCCTTCATTTGCAGTTTTGTTCAGTAGCAGAAGTACCAAGAAGGCTAGTGTGACCTACAAGAGGTTAGTCACTAATGTAGGGTACCACAAAAGTAATTATGCAGTGAAAGTAGAGAAACCAATGGGAGTATCAGTGACTGTGGAACCAAAGAATTTGAGTTTTGGAAAAGTGGGTGAGAAGCTGAGTTATAATGTCACCTTTGTTGTAGATGGAAGAGCAAGAGTTTCCGGTAGTTCATCTTTTGGGTCACTGGTTTGGATTTCTGCACATTACATTGTAAGAAGTCCCATAGCAGTGACCTGGCAATAGTGAAAGTTTCTTCTATTTGGAGGTATCTGATAACAAAAGCAGAGAATTTCAAGATGACCTATCATTATTGTTGTTAAGATATATCCCAAATTCCAGGTAGTGGAATGAGAATAATTTATTATTGCTTCTTGCTATTTGATGCAAGTTGTTTCAAATATTACTATTATACTGTTACTTTTAAATTTTTATTTAAAAAAACCTTATGTCATTTAAATCATTAAATGTTGAAATTACTAGAAGGTAGGCCATATGCTTTGCATAAAGTCTGAGCGGAATCGCATTGTCTATAACTTATGAGTAGTACAACCTCGTATTTACAGAGTTTGTATTATATATCAACACCAGTATCATATAGTTCCACAAAATCACAAGATATGATACCGGAGGGCCACAATAGTACAATTAGACATTAAATTCAACAATAGTTATTAAAACCATATCTCATTGCTATGAGTTGAGCTAGTCCATCTGGCTTAAAATTTGAAGGAGCATAAAAGGGGTCTGTCACATGTAAGACAAAGTCTAGCATGGTTGATATAAGCAAAATATAAATAAATGTAAAGGATATTTGGCTATATAACTTTCGTTTACAATGACTAACAAGAGTTGGATCTAGTGAAAGGGGTTAGTCCCTGACAACATGATGAATCAAGATTCCAATCCCCGCTAAAAGATATACTCACATTTAGTGCCCTACTCACCCAAGTTGAATTAATCCTTCGTTATTACAAATGTTACACTTTTTAAGAGCACACCTTTTTAATAGAGACACTATATAGGCGCTTGAGTGTGATTTTAGACCCATAAAGCTGTAGATAGTATCTACAACAACCCATACAATAACCTTTAACCTTTCTTTGCATTGAATCTGATACAGATAGAAGCAATGATCAACTTGATGCCTTAAGAAAGGCCATATTGCCCTACTAAATCCTAACTACAAGAAATACTAGAAGAGGGCAAAATGCCCAGTCGCTGAGCAGTATAATGAAGGAGGGGATGATATGCATACCTTGTGCAAGATCCAATATCTTCTACTAAGTCATAGTTTTGAAAAAGAAGGTGATTTAGTAACTAATGTTTTTAGTGAAAAGCTCCCAAGAATAATGTTTGTAGTGAAAAGCTGCCAAGAAGGTTCTCTAGCAACATACAGACCTCAATGGGAGCAAGCTATTGATAAAGAAGTGATGTGAGTTTAGGAGAAAGTTGAGTTCCCATCGGGTGTAGAATAGGATACAAGGTTAAATATAAGACTACAAATGATCTACTTTCTCTAAACTAATTGATAAAGAATTGAATGTGAATTTGGGGGAGAACCATTTTAAATGCTCACAAGCAAGAAAATGCATGATCTAGTACAAGGAATAGGCAATGAAATTGTTCGTCAACTATGTTTAAGAGAACCCGGGAAAAGGAGCCATTTGTGGAATTATGAAGAAGTTTATGATGTATTGGAAAATAGAAAGGCAAGATAAGTTTGAATAAGTAAAAAAAAAAAAAAAAAAGGAAAGAAAGCAGTACAGTATGATACATTTTATTTTATACTTAAACCAAATTTTATGTACCCTAGGGTACTGATGCAAGTGAAAGCATAACATTTGATATGTCTCAAATTAAAGAGGTATACCTGAGTGCTGATGGTTCCAAAAATATGCCTAATCTCAAAAGTCTCAAATTATATTCCACTTCTCCTAAAAGCTATGCAAACCTTTCTTCCATTCATAAGTCATTTTATGACAGATTAAGGTACTTTTATTGAGACTTCTTTCCTTTGGAATCCACCCTAGCATCAACCTATTGTCTGGAGAACTTTCTTGAAGTTCACATGAAGTATAGCCATGTTACAAAATTGTGGTATGGTGTACAGGTATATATTGACAAACACTCGCATGCATGCACAAATCCATCCATCCTCCTCTCTCTCTACTTCAATTAAAATAAAAGTTTTCCCTATTTGATTTCTCCTCTAATGGTTACAGGATTTTGTGAATTTAAAGGTTGTGGCCCCACAAGGATCCAGCCAAGTGATGAAGCTGCCTGACTTCTTTGAGTTATAAATTCTCAAATGCATTGATCTTTCATTTTGCCCAAGTATCTGTTATATTTATTCATCCATCTGTCTCATTTCTCCGCAAACTTATTACCTTTGGGTACAAATAGGCTTTTGGAATGGAGCTCCATTATCTTGCTTTTTACAGTAGACACGGTGCAGTGAGCATTAATTATTTTTCACCTGCCCATCTGACACTCCTTTTTTAGCCTAAAGAACAAGAACAAAGCCAAGCACAACGTCTTCTACTGTCTCTATTTTTAATAATTTTATTTTCAATATTTTTTCTAATAATAAATTGCCACAACATTTTTTTTATTTTTAATAATAACAAGAACAAAGCATTAATTATTTTTCAATTTCTTCCTAGTAATAAATTAATTTTTTATTTTTTAATTATTTTATTTTTAATATTTCTTTTACAATTGTCACATTATATACATATAATATCAAATATGTATCACTTAATAAAGTTCATATCATTTTTAATCATTTTACATATAAATTTATTTATTTTATTAATCATCCAAAGTCCAAACAAATTTTAGTTTGTCAAACTTTCTCTTTTTACAAAAATTAATTTAAATATAAATTACATTATACTGTCTAACTTCTATCTCAACTTGAATTTGCAAAAGTCAAATTATAAAAAAATTACTTGTATCGCTGCTAATCTAAACGCATCTAAAACTATTTTTTCCAGCTGATGGGTTGCTCTCTTTTTGCGTGCATCATCATGCTTTTTTAGCTCTTTATTACACTACTTTTCAGATTTGTCTCTTTTTCTTTTTCCTGTAGCAAACCTCTCTCCTCTCCCTTGTTATGTTGTGCAGATGTGTTTTAATTATCTTTTGTTATCTATAATTTTTATATATTTATTTATAAAATATATATAATTAAATGTGCTTAAATATTTACAAATTTTTCCAATATTATGTTAAATATTTTTATTTTTATAATTATAATTTTAATCTTTTATAAAGTTATCGAATTATACACTTATAATATATTTTTTTATAAAATTTATGTCATGTTCAATTATTTTACATATAAACTTGCTTTTTAATTATATCATCTAAACAAGTTTTAAATTTTCAGTTTGTGAAACTGACTTTTTTTTTTTTACAAGTCAATCCACACATAAATTACATACACAAATTGACTTTTATTTTAACTTATGTATGTAAAAATCAGATAAAATAAAAATTATTTTTCCCATTGTTAATCCAAACATATCCTATCTAGACAGTTATTTACTAAAACATATAACTTAATATTCTTAGCTACAATAACTTTTTCTGAAATCAAAGAAACTTAGGAGATGAGATATATCTTTGTCCCAAATATGTCCGCTTCTGACACTGGTCCCTGACGGAGGGATCAAATGTTTCTTTAAACATTGTACCTCCAGTGGAGCGTTGTTGTTTTCCTCACAAAAGGGAGAGTTCTTGATCTAAAGTCTAAACAAGTAGGGCTTTGAAGTGGCTTTGAACCAATTGAGCTGGACAGCTGCTAGCTTTTACACAAACAAATTTTTGAATAGATTGTCCGAGAAAATAAAAATAAAAATGGGTGACAACTTGCCTCTTATATTTAAGAACATAACATCCCTATAGAATGTTTCTTATGGATATAAAGCCAGAGAGGATATTAATTAGACCCAATCTTGACTTCTAGCACGTTTTCAGATGCAGGTGACCCTAACAAATACTAAGGGCCTATTTGATAGAAAGAATTAGTTATAATAGAAAGGAACAAAAAAGAATGGTAGGGAATGAAAAATTTCTAAGTGATGACATGTTTGGTAAGTATTAGAACAGAAAATGAGTTGATAAAAATTTTTATGTTTAGTTGGATGAAAATGGGTGAAAAAATTGTGCAATTTTACCATGTTAGACTTAATGAAAGAATATTATATTATTAAACAAAAATGATTTTTAATAATAATATTATTAAAAGAATCAATTCAAATAAATAAATGAATAGAAATACATTATAATTTAAATACATATAAATGTTCAATATAAATATAAAATAACTATACATATTAAACTATTAAAAATAATTAAATAAAAAAATATAAATAAAATATAATAGAAAAGTTTGTACGAAGAATAAAAATAAATTCACAAGAAAAAAAAGGAAGTATAATAACAATACAATTTATAAATTTGAATGGACATAAATAGAGTAAATTAAAATGTCAATTTTTAGATGAAATACATTTGTTAATTTAAACTTACATGGGTCAAATGATTTATCATTGAAAAACTCTTTAAGTTTAATTTTTAATACAATAAAACCCATTTAAAAACTCTTTGTATTCTTAATTTATTTTCAAGATAGTGAGCAAAAGTCACAAACATTTTTAAAAAATAGAATAACATTGTAAATTAAATTATTTATATAGATGTCATTGAAAAGCTTATTGAGTCTATATTTATATCAAACAAGTTTCACTTTAAAAGTATTTATAGTTTGTGAGATATTATAACTACATTAATCAAATGTCAAGGCTAAAATATTTATGACTTTTGTTCACAATTTTAATCATAGTTTTGTAAATATTAAAAAACTTTCTAATGGTTTTATTTCATTAGAAACTAGACTTTAAATAGCTCTTCAATGATAAGTCATTTATCTAATTTAGGTTTAGATTGATAAAGTAATATTCAATGAAATTTAAGCCTTAACATGACCAAAAAAAGATCAAGTAAATTCAAATTTGACATAGAAAATTTAAATTTTCTTATATCAAATTTGAATCTATTCAAAAAATTTGAATTTGATGTAGCGAATTCATCTTTTTTTGCATCAAATTCGAACATACTTATTTATTCTCTTACCTTAAACTTTAACCATGGGTTTGCTAATGTAAACTAGAGTTGGCATATGCACAGTACGTTCCAACTTTTTATGCAAAATTTGAATTCAACATGTCTCTGTTACACTGTTTTTTCACATTTTGAATAGAGCAAATTTTGACTAGACATAACTTTCTCAATTTAAATTCAAATTGGGCAAATGCCCTACCAGTGAAAAGCTCCCTGAGTCTACCTTTTAATGCAACAAGACCTATTCAAAAATATTTGTAAATTTAAAGTTCAAAATAGTGAGCAATGGTCAAAAATATTTTTTCTTACCATATTTTGAATAAAATTTGA